CTTCTTTTTCTACAGCAGAATGATTTCGCTCTGAGGGTGACAGGGTGCGTGAAAAAAAACCACGGGGCGACCACTTTGATTGAGTGTAGCAGGATTGCTATGTCGGAGGTATCGGTTTCGACCACTAGTGGTGTGTCTTTATCGACTGCAACCAGTGATGCTTGAATTAGCTCGGATTTCAATACTTCACTGGCAAGAGGGAAGATTTTGTTAGTAATTAGCGGGCGAATCTTTTCCGAAAAATGAGAAAACTACTGAGAATAGCATAAGAACATTCCTACAACTCTCTGTTGTGCCTTCATATTCGAGGGAGGGGGTAGTTTGAGAAGGGAATCGAAGCGTTCAGGGTCCGGCTTGGCGCTTTTGTAATCCAGCAGTCGAACCACTTCGGAGGTGAATATGCACTTGTGATTTAGAGTTAAACCATGTTTGGCAGTCGTCTGCAGGAACGTCTTCAGATTGAAGTTGTGGTCCGTGATTTCTTTCCCACAGACAGTAATGTCTACATATACAAAGGTTCCTTTGAGCCCTTCACGTCGAACAGGCTCATTCGTCGTGCGCTGAAAACAGGCGACACCGTTGGTTACTCCAAACGGTATGCGGCGAAATTCGTAAAGGTTACTGCATGCTTCGAAAGCTGTATAACGTCGTTCATTTTCCTTTATGGGTATTTGGTGGTACGCGCTCTTCAAGTCTAAGGTGCTGTAAATGCAGTATTCGGCAATTTTCCCCACCAAGTTAGCGGATAAGCATCAAAAAGGGTGAATCGGTTAATTGTCTGACGGTAATCGACTATCATCCGTCGTTTCTGGCGTTCTTTGGTTGTAACCAGGACCTGGGACCGCCACGGTGATCGATAAAGTTCGATTATTCCGTCCTTCGATAGCCTAGCGACCTCTAAATGAATAACATTTTCATCGTAGTAGCTGCCTTCCAGATTTCGTCCAAATAGAACGTCAAGAGGGGTCCCGATGTGCGAAAAGGGAGGAAACTGGAAGACCAGCGGCTGAGAGATCACAGAGAGAAAATGGTGGCTCAATTCATTGGAAGGATATTTCTACTGACCTGTGTCGTAAAAAGTCTTGTCCTATCAGTATGTCAGCACATAAATCGGGGAGGACGGACAGTTTGACATTTTCATACCAAGTACCTTCATGCATTAGAGAGACAAAACGATGACCCCTGGTGCAGCTTGTCATACGGGTGGAAGCCAGGATAATCGTACTATTGGGTGTCAATGTCGACCATTTGTTCTGAAGCACGATCTCAGATATGTAACTTTCTGAGCTTCCTGTGTCTACCAGAGCTTTCAATGCTAATCCGTTGACTGTTACATCAGTAACAGTTTTAGTAAGGCTCGCAGGGGCTGCGGCTGCACTGATGGAGGAGACGAGGAATGGTTAGGTAGCTGCGATATGCTTTGAGTTGGCAGGAGCCGGGCGAACTTTCTGGAAGTGTCCCCGTTTTCCACATGACTTGCAAGCTGCATCTTTCGTAGGACACTTGTGACGAGGATGCCAATCATAGCCACACAAGAAGCAGCTTGTTCGGGACGCAGCCAGCGTCGTCTCAGTTGTCTGATCCAGGGCGCTTGCAGCGGCAGCATAGCTTGAAGGAGTGGGCTAATGTTTGAGAATGCTGTTGAGCTAGATCGAGAGCTTTGGCTTGGTCGTAAGTGGTACTCACATCGAGTGTTTTATTTTCAAGAAGTCGCTCGCGGATGGGGTTTTATAATAGCTCGCTGATAAACGGGTCACGTATGACGTCCTCGTTTTGTTTTTCGCTGACTGATTTAAAATTGCAGTCTCGAGCGAGGTTTCTGAGCTTCTGCATGAGTTGATCTAGAGTTTCAACAGTACTTTGCTTCGAGGTCGCCAGAAGATGACGCGTGTATGTATAGAAATTGAAGCGTAGTAACGGCAGAGTTATAATCAGTGCATCGTGAAACGCATTTGTAGACAGTAGGCGACAAAAAGTGCATAAGGGTCTTGAGTTTGTTTGGTTTATGCTCTTCCACAAGCCCTAAGAAGTTAGTAAACCTATAATACTAGTGTTCCCAGGAATCGGCACCATTTGGAGAATTTGGATCAGCGTCAAAACGATCCGGGCGTAGATGTCGGTCCATTGTAATTGGTCGATTAAATTGTAGCGGAGTTAATTATGTGATTGATGAGAACTTGTAGTGTAGAATATGTTAGAATATGTGCCCAGAATAACAGCAATCTATGCAACAGGAAAGACAATAATAAATCTACGACAGTTCGTACGCCTCTTCTTGGTTCGTTTGGAATCAGGGTTTTTGGCCAACTCCCCTAAGTGAAAACACCGCCACGAGAAGGCATCGAGTAGGACTTCCTCAATGTAGGCTATTTGAGGCTCTTGGTCGTATGGGAGCATTTCGCGAGGTAAAGGGAAAGGGTGACCAGCCACAACCCTAGACACCTACTCCCGACCATAATGAGGATTTCGAAGGTATTGAAAGTTGGTTTTGCCAGTCCTGAACTGTTTAGTCGTCAGTTATAGCTTGTTTTCAATGCTGAGTGTTTACGTGCTCATACATCATGGCGGCGGAAAACGTAGTGAGTAGTGAAATTTTACGGTAGTTTCCATTTCACGTGATTGACCAGCATGAGGTGTAACTTTTTACGCATCAAACAAACGGGTGTGGAACGGAGAAGATTCGGAGTCAGAACTGTACACTCTATTCATTCTGATAAATCCCTTACATGAACTGTAATAGAAAAAAGAACCTTGTGTAACATACAATAGAGAAGGGTATATAGACAAGAGAACCAGAATATGATATGAAGTATTCAGAAACCTACGGATATGTACAATGCAGATGGTGCTGTAACTCTGTAAACGTGCCTTTCTCACTGATTTGTTCCGTCCCGCAAATCACGCAACTGCGCTTTCTAGTGTACAGTCTATAATGAATCGTGCTTACCTGCAGCTTTTTAACGGTGTCTGGTTGATTATTACCATAGAGAAATGGAAACTAAGAATGTTCACTGTAAACCTTCAGTAGTTGCGTGCATTTAAATGTTCTTGTGTCATCGGTTTTGGATTAATGGTCGGCGAAGAACGCCGAAGATTGAACCGTGTTGAACATCTGTTTTGCTTTGCTTTGTTCAAAAGCAAATCTTAGTTGTGAACTTAAAATATACTCTTAACTAATTTCCATTTTTTTCCGCAAATTAACTGCGAACATCATTTCCCTATAACTGTTCACATCCTAGTGAAAATTAAGGTGTAACGTTTTTACACTTCAGATTGATTGTAGACTGTGGCGTTTAACCGACGGCTGTTTTCTTTTAGTTCATCAATCATGGCTACTATGGCAGAGTTCATTCAACAGTCTGAAGCGAACGATGGTGTTCGCTTCTCTTGGAACGCTTGGCCAATATCTCGCTTGGAAGCAGCTCAGAGTGTGATTCCAATCGCCTGTTTATATACTCTATTCAAAGAACGTTATGACCTCCCACCAATCAACTACGAACCTGTAGCTTGCGGTCGATGTCGTGGAATACTGAACCCTTATTGTCCGGTGGGTTTGAACGCTATGACTGCACTCATCGCATAGTTCGTTAGACCATACATTTATTTTGTAAAATCTTTGTACCATTTTCATTTATTGTACCGTCTTTTAGTTCATCCGTGTGAAGTTTTTGTTTGAGGTCTGCACTGTGTTCTTTTAATCGCCTAGGCAAACCGTTTATAGAATTTCTCCAGTTTGTCTATATGAATAAATTATTAAAAGACAACACATTTGTACAAACTTTTTATAGCGATGGACCAAGATGTTCGAAATAAGCCTTTTTGAAGATGTCTTCACCGTATCATCATTGCCATCGTTGTACTATCTGTTCCTACTGTTTAGCTCACCATGTTACTCAAGATTCTGGGAATGTTACTCTATTCATCCTCATGAGCGTCGTACTGCGAAACAGCGAATCGAACTTCACTGATCAATGTTAATCTCCAAATGTACACATGTAATGGATCATCACTCAGGGAGATGCTCTGAGTGCAACAGAAGAGGTAGGCCGAATCGTGGGCTTTGATCAGCTGAATAATGGAGTATATTTCCAAAATACGAAATGCACATGAAACATAATGAATACTACAAGAATCGTAAAATAAATTGAACTTCCAATACATGACATTCACCCCTACCAGCAACTGGATGATAGTAATGTCGAATGATGGGAGAAACATTGACGTCTGGTAGAACAGTTCGTTATTTCGGGCTTCCTAGGTATATATATATATATATGTATATAAAACACCGGTGTGTATATATTTGTGTGTAAAAGTTTGTTAGCAATCGGATATGCACGAACGCCATGTGAACGTACACAGAACTAAGCTTTTCTGTTTCTCAACGAGTATGGACGGACTCGCTGCTGCAGTTATTGCAAAATCTCGATAGAATCCGGTGTGATATTTGGGCTATGTTGAATGTCTGTGTTATCACAAGTGATTTCTGGATCTTGTATTTCTGAGCGGTTAGGTTCTAACGAGGGAATCTGCGGACAAATGTGGTTTGAGATTGTGGAAGGATAGGGTTTGTGTCGGTAGATTCGTTATTTGGCGAACAGATACTGTCTCTTCGTACCCCCCCCCTCAGGAAGAATTACGCTGCTTAGTTCGGGTTATATTCGACTAGTTGCGCTTTATCGACCAAAAAGCGATACTTTGACGATTGTGTCTTCTATGCAACACTCGATCGGAATGTATCAACCAGCTGGGTAATGATGTTTCTGATCACTACATTCCGGCCGGGCCGTGGATGTAGTGATCAAATATTTACATTGCGTCAGGTCCTTGAGCTGCGTCACACCCACCGTCGACCAACGATCGCAATGTTCCTCGACCTGAAACGAGCCTTCGACTCAGTTGACCGACATTCGGTATGAGCTTTGCACCTTCAAAGTGCAAAGTGATGCTGCAGGACTGGGTTTTACCTATTCCCACCCCGAAACTAAATGGCCAGGAATTAGTTATGGTGGATTACTTTTCCTACTTAGGTAGTTGTGTGACCAATGACGGTAGCGCAACAAAGGAGATAATCGCTCGCATTTCCAAGGCTCGAGGAGTATGTGCTGGATTGAAACACCTTTGGCGTAGACGCAACGTTTCACTGAAGTTGATAGGTCTTGTATATTGTGCCACCGTTCGTCCAGTTCAGCTTTATGGTTGTGAGACCTTGAATTTGCGGGTAGAAGACATCCATCGACTAGTGGTCTTCGACAATCGATGCTTACGCAGTTTAGCCCACGTTGGATGGGGCGAACGGGTTAGTAACGTGGAGGTAAGCCGCCGTGTGTTTGGGAGTCTATCAGGTATAAACCTGCTAGCACACCGAATTCAGATTAGTAG